CAGATAGCCCAGAAGGACTGTGACCTGTTCTTGGTATATTGAGGCCAGCCCAATATCCTTTTCCTCTGGTCTGAAATCTGGTGGCCTAGTTGGTTGTACCCCTCACCCAAGGTTCTTGCCTGCCCGAATCCTTTACATTGGTATCCAATTTCTAGGTCTAGCCTTTACAGTAGTACCATCAAAGATTCATGTTACCTCTTTGCTTAGAATTTCCAAGTGAGCTCTGGCTTCTCAGTTCTATGGATTTACATGATCTGAGAACTTATTTTAGGTTTGCACTACCTAGTACCAGTTTGCATTCCTTTGTGTAACAGGTTACACAGATGCCACAGAGCTGCCAGTCATTCTGGTGTGACCATAGTTATAGGTATCCTATTCCAACTGATCGACAGAATGCTGTCACTATAATACCGTCTATATATCACATAAGTGATTATCCAAATTTACTATTAGTGGGTTTTGAACTCACAACCTACCACTTGAGGATATGACAACTTATCCACTTCACTAAGTCACCACACCCTGCTAAAAAAGTAATTACAGTCAGTTTTTTTTAATTTACAAACAGAAAAAACTGATTGAGAGTTTTTTTTTTAATCTCTCTAATTTCTCCTTCTAACTTTTTGACACAATTTTTTAATTGCATTACTAATTTAATTAAAAGATTATCACTGTTCTCTCTATGAATATACTATTTAATTTGTAAATATGTATGAGTACATATTTATTTTTGTATATTTAAAATATAAATAAACTTAATATTTACAGTGATGAAGTCCTCTCCTTGCAATGAATTTTTATAATACTTTGCTTCAGTAAATTTAATAGTTTTACCAAGAGGTCCATCTGGTATTTTCTTGTTTGCCATAAACCAAAAGAAATCTCCAGCCTCTTTATAACTTCCAAAATGCACATAGCCATCTCTAAATAAAAAATAAATTAGTTATTTAAGACTTTAGAAAATTTACATATAATAATAATAAATATATACATATTTATCTTTTCTTCAGTTTTTTTTTGATATGCAAGAACAGGAATGAGGTAGCACCAGAAAGCCACTCATAAATTTTTTTGGTGCTTATAGTTTCTATATTTCTAGAAATAAGAACTGTCTGCTCAGCAATGTAACAACATGGGCCACAATATCCTATTTATATAAAACCAAAAAAGTTATTACTAATACTTTTGTGTAAAAAAAAACACCAACTCGCCTTCTAAAGTTGTTTCTTATTAAATTTTACAAAAGTATAGGATACTCTACGTGGAGAGAGCTTTGCAAAAAAAATAAAATTCTCAAGACACTCCAAAAAGAAGAAGCTTATTAAATTTTATAAAAGGTTTGATACTCTACGAGAAGAGGGTTCTACAAAGAGAGGGCTCTACAAGAAGAAAAAAATTTACAAGACACTCCAAAAAGGAGAAGCTTATTAAATTTTATAAAAGGTTGGATTCTCTATAAGAAGAGAGTTCCACAAAGAGAGGGCTCCATAAAAAGAAAAAAATTCATGCCATTCTAAAAAGTAGAGAAGGAGGAGAAAGATGTAATGTAGAAAAAACTCTTAAAAGAAATTTTCTACCTGAAAGTACTGCAGTATCTTCTAGATCTTGCTATGACATAGAACTCTGATGTTTAGTCATTGTAATAATGAACCAAACTTTTCTAAAATTTGTACATAAATTTGAAAGCAACTACATAAGTTTTTATAATATTCAACAAAAAAAAAACAATTGTAACATGATTTTTTGCAAAAGATCACATAAATAAATAAATAAACATTTGTATATATATATATATAAGTCTATTAGCTAATTATGTAAAATTAATACTCTTCACAATCAATTATTCAGTAGGCCTAAAAAAAATATCTTGAAAATTATCAATACCATGTTTTCAAATACTAGGACCTGAAATGTATTTTGTAGAATTTCATTCATAGATTGTTTGGCTTTTATTTAATGTGCACCTATGCCAACAAGATATTTATTTTTATATATAAATAATATGTATAATATAAATTATAACAAAATTAATGTAACTATGTACTATACAATGTGTATACAGTATCATAAATGTTATTTACTATAATGACTTCTATAAATTACTCACATTTGAATTTTATCTTGTCTCATATGTTATATAGAAATTAGTCTAAGAAGTATGAATACTATAAAATAAATTTAGTAACAAGAAATTTGAATCGAGAAGCACTAAAATTTGAATTCTCTTACTTGAAGCAGTGGAATAACAAAGCAATCAAATATCTACCAAATAATAGTTCAAACCTCTTATTAGCTTCAACTTTGTTATTTTTATTATCTCCCTACAAAAAGCCATTTGCATTGCTTGATCTTAAATTCAATAGAAAATAAATAATATTTAGAACTATATAGTATAAAACTCTATATACTTTGAATTTATTCAAAACATAGTGTAGCGAGAGTTCTTCATAATACCTAAGCACAATGATGAACTTTTTTACAGCTAATATTAAAATAATAATAATAAAAATAATAATAATAAATATTTCAATTATTCTTAAATATTCATATTACCTTTAAATATTACTTGTTAATTATCATTACAACCCCAAAAATCCTCTGGAATTACTCATTTCAGCACTGTATGAACAAATGTGATAACCTACATTTATTAAAATATAAAGACTACATATTAGAAAATATAAATATTAAATTATAAGAATATTCATTATAATATTTTGTATTTGTTAAATATATGATTCACAGATGTTCTTACACTAATTTTTGAATTTATTTTTTGGTCATTAGATATGTTATTGTATATTTTGACATTGCTAAAAGATAAATTTTCTAACAAATCAGTATTTGATACCCAGTAAGTTCTAGCACTATCACTGTTATTGTATTTAGTAAATTTGGAAATTTTTTTATCTTGAAAATAGGAATTATCTAGAGTCTGCTTTTTTGGCTAACCAGTGAATATTTTATTAATTTAATAAATAAAATATAACCAAAGAACATTACTTCTAAAATCATTTCTATAATCATCACAATATCTATTATATATAAGACTTACTGTTACTTTTGGTAAATATTTCTTATCATTCAAATTTTCTGGGTCTGGGATGAAAATTTTAGACTTATATATGTCCATATACAAATTTTGTAGTATCATTTTTATAGAAGTTTCCTGAGATGATACCCTTTCAAAAATCAGTTCCCTCTTAAAGGTTTTCTAAGATAACATCACATTGTTCAAATTTTACAAATTCATATACATATCTTGCGACATGCTCTTTATAAAAGTTTTCTGAGACAAAAATCCTTTAAAAATGCATTTTTCTTTAAAGGTTATTTGAAATGATGCCCCATTATTCAAGATTTCCAAATCTGAGATGAAAATTTCAGATTTATGCTATAATTCTTTATGCATATCTTGAGATATTGTTTCTTCAAAAGTTTTCTGAAATATGTAGCATCTTTTTAAAAGTTCATTCTCTTTAAAGGTTTCTTGAGATGACACTTTTTCAAAGACTTCATGAGATGGCATTTTTAAAAAATTTTTTGATAACATTGAGACTTTTAAAGATCAATATTTGGCTTAGATAATTCACTAATTGCAGTACCTAATTGATAATAAAGAAAGTTGTACTCTCTTACCAGTTGCTTGAAAATAAAAATTATTTGAATGATAATTAAATATTGATGCATTCTTTAATAAATAAGTCATTGCTCTCTCACAAACCTACAAAATACTATACTATTCAACCTTATAAACTTAATATATTTATTTTATTGTAATCAGATAAGACTATTTATCTAAAGTAAAGCTTTTTTAATGCTAGTAAGTGTCTAATATAATCTGTGCTTGAATTTTCATATTCTATTATAACATCGTATTAATTTGGTATCTAATCACAGTTTCAATTAAGGATTATTACAAATTGATATTTAAATATCTTCTATATACAATATACATGTTTGAAAATTTTATACTAACATCATTAAAGCCAAGTGATAAAACATTGAATTGCTTTTTCAGCTCAAAGCTGTTTTTCATTAACAAGTTTTATAATATGTAATCTTATTATTCACTTGCCAGTAAAACTTTAGATTAGTTTTTTAATGAACTATTTTCATTCACATATACAAAAAATTTAAAATATATATAGCATGATGGTTAAATCTAAATTTATATAATCAACAGTGTGGCTTAGCCAATTTTAATAAAAAATTTTTCTAAGTACATATGTATAATTCATATATATTCTTATAATTTTTCAAAACTTAAAAGTTTATTTAAAAAAAAAAAGCTAGTAAAATTGGGATGAAAGATTTTTAGATTTCACAACCCTCCATGAGATTTTATTTTATTTTTTAAATCATACATACATATAATATGTTATGTATACATATTGATGTTTAAATACATATTTTCAGAGTAAAAAAGAAAAAAAAACAAAATATCTTAAGTACAAGTAAATTCTTCAAGAACTTTTTCCAGAACTCAATAATGAGAACAATATTTTCTTATTGCAAAAATGGCAGCTTTTTCAGTAAGTCCAAGTTCATAGATACTTATAAAGCATGCAAAATAGTGAGCAAAATAGTAAATCTTTATTAAATTAACAGAATCTAATGTTATTAACACAGTTTTTTTTAGGCACTTGAAAGTATAATTATAATTAAGTCTTGCATAACATTTTACTTTAGCCTAAACAGACTCAATATAATTAAGTTCACAATAAAACTTAAAATAAAAGATGCACATATGGCTAGCTGCTTCAATTATCTAAATTATTTATATATATATAAGTAAATTGGTTTTAAATAATTTTTTTTTTTTAAAAAAAAAAAACTTATTATCTCTCATATGTATAATTTTTGTGTTGCAAAATTGGGTTGAGCTGAAAGAATTCATGAAGCACAACTGTTGGAGTTGTTTAATCAGACTTGTTTTTTTTACATATATTATACTTTTTTATAAGACCTGGTATCTATAAATTTCATTTTTTAAGAACCTATTTAATCCCCTTAGGTCTTATTTCACTATTCATATCTACATAGGTCATTATATGCTTAGTATTATCAGGTTTTACATCATTATGAAGAAGTAGCTTTTTTGTACTATCACCCATGCCCATTTGTGAGACCAAAAGAGCATCTTTAGCAAATGAACCATGATTGCTACTATTATCAAACATGAATAGAGCTATCTTGTCAGAGTGTGTTTGTTCAAATATTAGTATGGCATATTTAACTACCTGATTAACTAAATAGTCACTTTTTCACCACCCATCATGATTTATACCTGGATGGATTGTAATACATGCTTGGATATATTTAAGATACATATAATCAGAAAGCAATTTATTTATAAAACTTTTATATTCTGAAAGTTTGAGATGCCTGATAGATTTACAGTAAAAATTACTAACATAAATACTGAGACCCTGTAATTAAGAATATGCAAGAATAAAAAATTAGTTAGTTAGTTAATAATTAAAAATTTTAGTCAACTGATTATATAGTCGACTAAAAAATACTGTATAACTAATTATAATCCTTACTTGTGATTTTTTTTATAGGCTATATTTATCAATTGGGCTCCAATACTTATTTTTACCATTATTTGTATAAAGAATGGTCTCATCATAGATAACAGAAATGATTTCAGACTCACTAGGAAAAAGATTTGCAAGGTAATATAGTCTAAGTTTTCACTTTCATATATGGTTATTCAGGTTCGTAACTTAGCCATCTCTTGCAAAAAATAGCTTCAGTATTCTACCACATCTTCATGTTTGTAACCATCAAAATAAATATATATATATTTTTTTTGATCACATATGCACTCACAATAACAATTAAAATTGACTATAGCAAATGCTATATACATTTTTCAAACAAACCTTAACCTTCACCCAAATATTTCTTTCCACAACTATCAGGCTATACTTATTATCCATCTATACCTATTCCTTTTAAATTCTCTCCAATAAACAATAATACATCAAATACTAACATAATTATAAAGAAAAGTAACATAAACTACAGTTACATTCAATTAGTAGAAACCATCCTAGAAGGTCATGATAAAACTACAATAGCTAAACAATACTATGACAACATCCAACTCAATACCTGCTACAACAAATTTCTATTTTACAACTATCTACTACTGCTTTCCCATCCTTAAACTATTATTTCTTTTCTATAACATATCTACAGCTTTGGCTATTCATCTAATAATACTTGCGACTACACACTAATCATTCTATTAAAAACGATCATAGCAAAGCTCATATTTATCTTCCATCTGAAGCTAAACCATTACCTAATCACTTTATTTTACCAGTTCAAGCCATCTGGCAATACCCAAACATTCAACTAAAATCAAACACATCAACACTTGTCCTTTCTATACCAGCACCTTTAGTTTTATTTCTAGTAGCTTAACACAACCCAGAACCTCTAACACCTCACCTTTAAATCTTACAATCTGTACACACAATGTTCGAGGATATAATGAAAACCTTAAACAACAAGTTTGGAAAGATTATTGTATTTCTCATTCCTTGAATATTATTAGCATTACAGAAACTAAAATAGCAGAAAACAATACTATTACCAAATTTTACAATTCAAAACATTTCTTTTACTTTTGGTCTTGTACTAACAGCTCCAAAGCAGGAACCACACTTATGATCCAAAAACATCTTACATCTCATATAC